TCCTGGACTCTGCAACTGGTGGGTTCACGGGTTCACAATGTTCTCAGAGGTGGGTTGGGGTAGCAGAGGGTGAGGTTCCAGTTCAGAGAAAAAGGGTGAGGGGGGAGACTACAGAACAGAATCAAAGGCCCTTAAACAGTATCTTCGTGATCTACCCGAGTTGCCATCTCACTATTGCTGAACGACTCCAGTAAGTCATACTTGGAACCTGTTTTCCAGGGCTTACAGGCAGTGTACCGTTTATATAAAGAAAAGTGTGAATCGGGGGTGTCAAGGTACTTTCTGCACCTTCAAGTTTTAGGAGGAGTTCAATGCTATGAACCTTTCATTGTTCCATCATCGAAAAGATGTGTGTGATCTGTGTGTGGGCTTTGAGGGAGGAAATGTGGAAGAGGGGGCATATAATCAGCACCGCTTGAGAGCTAAACATGCACAGGATGAAAGGACAGCAGACAAGGAAAAGCGGATGAGCAGCCCCAAAATCAAAATGCATCACTATGCACCTGCAATCAGTTTGGCTATGTCCACGCACTAATTCATCTGCTTTGTACTATAAGACACAATTTCACAGTATATGATTTAGAGAGCAAGGACTGTGTATGTTCTGTCTGGAATGAATGCGAGGGTGCTCTGACTTCAAATTAATTTGCTTTTTGTGTGGATGATTTTTTGTCATCTGATTTGACTCCAGATGAATGTATCATATATTCAGATGGATGTGGTTATCAGAACCTCAATCTGCGCCATTACATTTCAGTTCTGTCAATGGTAAGACTGAAGCATAGAAATTCCTACTGAAGGACCATACACAGATGGAGGTGGACAGTGCTCACAGCACATCTACTACCCGGCTGATTATGTCAGGCTGATGAAAAAAAGTAGGAAAGTGAAGCCATATGTTGTCAAGTACTTGACTCACGATTTCTTTTCTGATTTCACTAAACCGACCAACCTGAGTTCAATAAAACCATGTCGTGGCAAGGGAGACCCTGTTGTTTTTTACTTAAGAGCGCTTCAATACATACCTTCAAAGAGACCAACGGAAACATCACAAGACAGTCGCTGCAGTGGAACCCACAGAGAGCATGAAGCAGGCGTATGCCACAAGAAACATGGAGGAGATGTGTGGGAAGGGACATGAGAGAGATGAAGCTCACTTGGAATGAGCTTGGAGGATGGCCCAGGACAGAAATAAATGGAAAGAGCTTATTAAATTTGTGACCTATACCCTGCCAGGGGTGAAAGGAACTGATAACTTCAATACACACCAGGCGGTCAAATTAAATACAAACAGGGATTTGATGATGACAGGTCACCTCTGCCATTGAAGTGTGGCCAGTCCAAAGACATTTTCCATGATGATAAAGGCATGAAGGAACTGCGTGTGTACCAGAGTAGAAGAAAAATTACAGAGACCAAGTTTAAACACCTGCAAGAAATGAAGTCTGTTGTGCCAGGTGACCACCACAATTTCTATGACAATCTACCCCACTAGAACAAATTGTTTGTCCACCTCCATTTTGTGTTTTATTTTTAACACTGTGTTGTGTCACAAGTGAAATTATTCACATCTTGATATTTGCCACCAAATTATAAGTCTGATGTTTTATTATGTTCTTATGACTTTGATGCAAAATGTTACCAATTGGCTTGCAATAAATACTTTATTTTTTTTGTGTGAATGTTGGATTTAAACTATTGATTTAGTACTTCATCTTCTTCCAGTAATCCGGTTCAGTAAGAATTGAGTACGTCACCAGTGTGCTCTAAGGAGAACTTGAAAAGGGAAAGAAACCAATAGGAAGGCCAAACATGAGGAACAAAGACATCTGCAAAAACAGCGTATCTAAGTTTCTAGTAGATGTCAGCATCTGGGACGAAATAGTTGAAGACAGGAAAACATGGAAGAGAATGATAAAGGAAAGAATTATTGAGCCAGAGAGCAGCCTCAGAAACAAGTAGGCTGAAAAGCGCCAACGGCTAAAGGAAAACAGCGGAAATACAGAGTTTCGGTCCACTTTACTAAATGCAAGCACTGCAACAGAATGTGCGCTTCAAACGTAGGAAGAATTAGCCATGAAAAAAGCAACATGAAGACGACTCCTACGAAAATTCTTCTCCCCCCCCCCCTCTCATAACTAGAGAAGTAACCAACCCTTCTCACAATTTCCTTGAGAATGGCGGATCGAATGGTAGCTGTATAGTAAAAACTTAAAGTCGTACTTTATTAGTGCACAAGCCCATTGCCTAACTAGAATTATGTGGAAATAAAGTGCAACGTTCAGTTTTTGTTATAATAACAGTACCATTGTTAGATTCTAGATCTATAGCATGGGTATACAAATACTATGTAGTACTAATTAGATCGTTTATAGCACCATAGGTTTCTTATTGGATTGACCGCAGATCTAGTCATTTCGAGTTTTTCAGTAACATTAACATGTCAGAATGACAGAGTCAGACATAGCAAAGCGTGCGCTGGCAGTGCAAGGTCGGAGAATTCAAAACAAACATGTTGTTTAGCAACAATTGGAAGCTAAGAAATTCAAAAGGGAGTGGTGTATCTGTGTCACTCAGGACTGAAAAACAACAAAACTTCGGTAATTTTTACATAAATACTTTAAAGTAGAGTAATTTATTTCAGTCTAGTGCTTTTAAAGGCAGTAAATCCCATAAGTGCCATTGAATACAGTTTTTTGTCTCTCCTGCAAAATTCAAGAAATTGGAGTTAGACGTTTAGATTTATTGGCTGACGTCATATGACTTTATCTAAGAACACTGAATGTTCCAGAAAACAAACAATATAGGGTCGACGACTCGTGGTATGGTAGGTAAACAAAAAGAAAAACGAGAAATCTACTCAAGCACATCTTGAAAATCTTCGTTAAAAGACAAAACAGGTTATTTACAATGATACACTGTATCACTTTGGATAGGGAAAAAAAACTGAGCAAAGTATTTCTCATGAATGACAAGAAAATCTCTGCTATTTGTACATTCACAGAAAATCACTGTCCATGCAATGTAAAGCTGTATTAGATTGAAAATTTTCTTTGACTCACAACTATCAGGGTAAAATTATATATCTTTTATAAAAATGTAATTGCTTAAGTATTACACTCCTATTTAAACTAAATATATCATTAAGGAGGCAGGCTGCTTTGACCCTGCATGTCAGGGCAAACCATAGCTGAAAGAGATACAGCATCCCAGGAGACAGATGGAGATACATGGTAAAAATTATCCCCACATGGGAACTGAACAAATGTCTTCTGCACACAATGGCAAAACGCCTAACCGTGGCATCACAAACAATGGTAATATATCATTTAAAAAACTCAATAATTGCTGGCAGATGCTATTCAGTGCTGAAGCAACCGAGGTAAAAGAAAAGAGTAAAAATAAACAGTTTAAACTTTGGTTGGATGCGTAGCAAATTTTTGAATGGCACTTTGAGTGAACTCAATGTTGTCTTCTTTTCTTTTCAGACAAATTCCACAGCCGGAAGTTCTATATCATGTACAAAATGTACAACATAAAAGTTAATGGAAAACTCATACAATGATTGTAAACTATCTTATCATGAATCAGCTCAGTTGACTTACGCACACGTATCCCCCCGCCCCAGAATCATTCACATCATTCCAATCTCTGACAAACAGCAGCCAAACAAAATTGCCTCATTCACAAACATTAAGTAAGCATAGTTAAAACTACAAGTACTTCCACATTTTCGTATGGATCACCCGTAAAGCGACTATTTTAAATAATATCTCCGATGAAAACAGAAGACAAGTCTGAATGCAACATCTCCGCACACAGTCAAGCACCAACAGAAAATCCCCACGCACTGAGCCCTCACACAACCCCGAGCTGGGCCAGGGGTTGAAGGTCAGCATCGTTACGTCACAGGTCGCAATACACTGCCCGTCTGTTGGGTGTTGTCTACTGAGTCGCCTGCTGCCCCATATGTCTGTGATGAGACGAACGCCCCATCTGTACTTGTGTCTAGACGTTTCTCTACAAAAAAGAAACCCAAGAAAATTTATACTTTCAGCAAAACTTATCGGGAAGTTCCTGTAAGTCTCTGTCACAAACAAATCAAACCTCTTCATAATACAGTGGAATCTTGTTATAACGAGAGGGAGGGGACCAGAGCAAAATGTCCGTTATAGCAGGATTCTCGCTATAAGGGATCCAGTAATAAGTTCAAGGGAAACCGTAAAGTAGGCCTAATCTATGAGTTTGGTATTTTGTTTTTCCTTTTGCTATCTCCCCTGATGACGATTTTGTTTCAACATGACCTCTCTTGATCAAAAATCGAATCAGGTTTTTTTCTCTAGCGCTAGATCTAGCGATGTGGACAGACAGCTCGGCGTTGGTGATCAGAAAGGAAGGGCTCTGGGTTAACTCACCCGCTGTGTTTTCTCCCACCCCGCCAAACCCTGTGGTGCATTCTGTGTGCTTGCGCACGTCACACATTCGCTCCGTCCATCACATTGCCGTGACCTCTCCATCCCCGCATCGGAGAAGTGAGAGGCATGGTAGGCCTTGATAATCTATACTAGGCTTACGCTGGCATATCACACGATGCGTTCTGCTTGTTTGCGCATGCCACACCCTCCCTACTCAGTTGCTCCGGCCTTCATTATTGACGCACATGGGCGTTTGTATTCTTTGTTTCGCAAGATCACAAACAAATTTCTCAACTGGCGAGGTTTTACGTTATGTATAATTGGCCTATGCACTGTGCACAGCAGCAACAATATTCCGCTATAACCGACTCTCATGTTTGTCTGATTGCGCTATAGCAGTATTTATTTACAAAGGTAAAGAGGAGAAAAAAACGGGGTTTTAGAATAGTGTCTTTATAACAGACTTCTCGTTTTTTCCGGACTCGTTATAAGTGGACTCCACTGTACCACCAATACACAGCATGTAATAAATTTGGTATTTTTATGGAAACATTGGCAACATGAACAGATCTTCAAAATCAATACAATATATAGATAGAGATAGATATGTGTATTTTTCTCAACAAAACCAAGGCAAATAAACAGGCCTTAAGATTATGCCAATAACTCCACATGCTCAAATACTGAGGAGCATCTGGTTCCACCATGTCATGACACATAACTAGGTTTTCTTCTGTTATTGATTTATATTTGTGTCAGGACGCGGAGGAATCTGGCACTCAACAGTTTTTGGGCAATGAAGTTATTGGTATTATCTCAAAGCTTATTCATTTGCCTTGTTTTTAATGAAGAAATACCCATCTATCTTGATTAGAAGTCGAGATATTTGCGATTGAAGGAGGTGAGTCCTTAAAAACTGATAAATAAATTACATAAATGTGTTTTCACATGAACATAAAAGGTGTTGAGCCTAAAACAATTTTTCACCCCCAAAAAGGCCAAATTGGTGGAAAAATAACTGTTTCTTATATTAGATTATTTTGACGAGCACCTGAATTCACCACCATGCCTCACATTAAGGTTTTCTTTGCTGTTGGTACAAACCTCAGTAGGTATTTGGTCGGAAATTGAAAAATGCACTGACTTAAACTATCCCGTTTTCAAAGAAAAAGAGAGACAAAGAGGCTAATAATATGATTGTGTGTGTGTGTGTGTGTGTGTGTGTGTGTGTGTGTGTGTGTGTGTGTGTGTGTGTGCGAGCGCGAGAGTGTATGTATTAAAAGTAAGGTTTGTATGCATGCATGTGTGTTATAAAAAAGTAAGCTGCATTTGTGTAATCATGAGTGAGTGTGTGAGTGTGAGTGTGATAGGTGTGAATCCCCTCCCCTCCCCTCCCCCAGCCCCAAACGATTTGTAAAGGCGACCCTTCAATATTGTGCCTAGAGAAATCACTCCAAGCGACCAAGGCATGAGCGCATTTTATCAACAATATTCTCCCAAAACATGGCTATAGGAATGATACTCGGCAACCTAGAAAGTAAAGGAAATGGCTCTTACGTTGTTTATTATCATTACTTTATTTGCCGTAAGGTGGTGATTTTTGCTTGGTTGCATGTCCCATATAAATATAATAAATACATAGGCGGTGCCCAACGCAGATGCCTGGCCGGCTAAACAAAGCCTCAAGGGGATTCCACGAGAACCCAATAATTTTCCCAATGAGAAAACAAGAAGAGAGAGAGAGAGAGAGAGAGAGAGAGAGAGAGAGAGAGAGAGAGAG